TCTTTCAGGTATGCATAGTCTACCTGTCTTCTGTAGAACGGTAACGTGACGGCCTCATACGTAAACAACTCTCTCCTCACCAGGTGGGAAAAAGCCGTGACGCCATCGGTCTGGACGGAGAGGTGGTTAACCGCCGGAGGACCATCAGCGGCCCAGTAACCGAGCTGGTGGAGGCTGCCAGGCGAGAACAGCTGGATTTCACTCCATCCTTGGTCCAACCCCAACCCTCCTCTCCACCTGTCAATTCTCCTTCACCTCACCCACCATCCTCCCCCCTCCCCGGCTCAGGGGGCAGCGGCAGCTCGTCGGAGAACCTTCCCTTTGCCGAGGAGGGAAGCCTTACGATCCGCCGGCAAGGTCGAGGAGAGGGACAAGGACAAGGACAGGTAACTATCTATACAACTGTATTTCTGAGTGTTTGTCTTTATACCCGTGAGGCGGGGCCAGAGAACCAAAACCACTCGTGAAGATGTCTCCCAGACTTTTCACATCGTCCCCATCGTTGCGTCGGATCACAATGATTATGGAGTTTCAGAGACACACTAGGGCCAGAGTTTGGTTAAAGAGCAACTTCACTGAAAAAACATTTTTCTGATTCTAACGGGTCACTCGTGAGTGTTTCATGCAGCCTGAACATGAGAATAGTCTCCTATACCTATCTCCTGCAGTAGCTTCTGATAGAAAACAGACGGTGAAACTCTAGGATAGAAAATCCTGACAGATCTACGTCACCCTGTCACTGACATTCATGGACTCACCCATCTGGGCTCACGACGGGGAAGGCTGTTGTTGGTTTAGTCCAGGAAACAGCAGAGAACGTCTCTGCTAGTAGAAGCTAACTGTTAGCATTAGCAGAGAACGTCTCTGCTAGTAGAAGCTAACTGTTAGCATTAGCAACTCCACCACACAGCAGAACTCCTCCAGGCTTGTGTTATTGGTGGAGATAAAACATCGACGTTGCAGAGCAGACTGAGTCAGTGGTAGAGTCGTGTTGCTGTTAGCCAATCAGAGGAGAGCTTCTCAAATCCTGCCCTCTTGAGCAGCTTTCTCCTCCAGCTGAATTCTACGTCCACAAACAGGCGCACCGGAGAGTTTTTTCCCCGAGAGAACGACTTACAGGTCATTGATTCCAACTAGAGACCGCTGCAGATGTATGAAATACCAGTAAAACCAGTAATACCAGTAAACTTCATATTTAAAGTGTTCCCATCAGGTTTAGTTTTGCTAAACCAAAAGGACGAACGCCGTTTTCAGACCCGTTTTGTGTGTGCAGCTTTATGAAGGGCGTTTTCTGGCCCACCTGCTGCTGTCTGTGTACGCAGTGTGCTAAAGCTAAATGTGCTTTAACGTGTTCCAGCGCCAGCGGGAAGCTTTAGCTTCTGTTTGTTGTTTCCATTTATCTATGTTGACGTTTTGACTGTTTGTGCAACTATGACCTCTTACCATGGATGTATGAACTTTCCGTTAGTGTGTATTTTGTGTCTGTCTGCAGGGTGACAGCGAGGCGCCCCAGGGTGATGGCGGTTACCCCCAGGAGGACACGCCTGAAGCTACGGGCACCCTAAAGCGACGGCCCCGCAAGTCCCACCCCAATGGGTCAGACTTCACCCTGCAGGAGTCGTCTACCGTCAAACGGCGGCCAAAGAGCCGTGACAAGGAACCCGACGGCTATGCAGAGATGGTCGCTGCTAATGGAGGGCTTGTGGACGCCGGGCCGCCCAACACCACGCAGCCTTTCCCCTACCAAAACGGTACCGCCACCGTGAAGCGCCGCCCAGCGCTGGATGCTGGAGTGACAGAACAACCTCAACATCAGCCCCAGCCACAAGTGAGCGCCGCCGCCCGCAGGGATAGCGTGGACAGCGTGGACATGGGTGTTCCAGCTGCCAGCGAAGGAGGTCCTGTGAGGAAACCAAAGCCTCCTGTCTCCCCAAAACCTGCTGTGGCACAGATAAAGAGGCAGGGAGGCCCCCAGACACCCCCGCAGACGGCTCCCAGTAAGAGGATCCCACTGCCGGGCCCGGGCACTCCTGGAAGTCCAGGTAGTCACAGAGCATCCTAAAGAATCTTCCTTCAGGAAGTAAACCAATCAAATAAACCTGTTCAGAGTGATCCTCGGTCACTCGGTCAGCGAAGGCTCACGTCACAACTCCGCCGCTCCTGGCTTCTCCGCTGAGTGACTTCTTGTCTTCGGCGCATGGGGGGTCGCGTTGAAGCCGTGGAGCGTTCACACTGGAGAGAGCTGGATGTAGTTTTTCAGTCATGGTGTGAACGGCCTCACAAAAAAGTCTGATTTACTCAAAAAATTCTCATTGAGCATCGAGGCCTGCAGACCTAGACCTGCTCCCGTGTATTTCTGACCCGATTTTCATGGTTATATGTTACGAAGCCGCCAATATTTTTCAAGAACTGGATATCATTTATTTTATTGTCAACATTTTGATGGATCTTTCTAGAGATTAATAGTAAAATCTACACGTTGTCTCTTTAAACACGTTAAAGCCACGTGACCGAGTCCCACGCTAGTGTCAGTAAGTTAACGATATCGTTATTAAAATCATTTTATAAACGATCACTGCTGTAATAACCAAATATAACTGGCACCCAGTGTGTAATGGCATTACTAACGGTGTTATAGAGTAATCTAATTACTGTAATGACTTTTCCCGTCGTCGCAACACCGTTACCGTTACTGGCGTGTAAAGTGGTGCGTGACTCCGTTACTAAGATGTGGCTGAATGGAGCGCAGCGAGTGTCCGGCTGACTGACAGCCGCACCGGGGACGAAACGGCTCTGGAGCTGACCAGAACCCGAGTGAAGGACACCGGCTCCACCGGCACCTGCCATCCCACGCCGAGCCGGTTAACAAACACACAGCACCAAACCCACCAGGGTGTTTGTTTTTGATCAGACATGAGCGTGCAGCGCCGCGCGCTCATCTCATGTCAGAATCGTTCAGTTAAGAACGTTTTTCACACCATAGATGTTGTAGAACGTAACTGCATTATAGAGCATTAAAGTAGCGCCACTATTACCTTGCTAGGTAACTAATTACTTTTACAATGTAGTAACTGAATTACTAAATCATTTTTTGGAAAAAGTCATTTGTAACTATAACTAAGGACTTTTTTAACAGAAGATGTCCCACACTGCTGGTTAGAGCCCTGCACGGGCCTAAAATCTGAGCCCGTGTCCGGCCCGGCCTGAGGGGGTGGAGCCCCAGCCCGACCCGGCCCAAGAAGGTTTTCAGGATTCTCTGGCCCGACCCGAGCCCGACTTTTTTTTAACCTTTCATAATGTTTTAGCGTGATAGGATGCTCCGCGTTCTGATTATCTGTGAGAAGCGTTCTGCAGTAAACAAATAAAAAAAGAAAAAGAAAAACAGCATCAGTGGAGCTTTTTTTTCTAACAGAGCGTGTTTTTGAGCGGCAGATGAAATTTACGAACACTATATTAATTGGATGCGTTTGTAAATTTAATCTGCTCTGAAAACGCGCTCTTGTGCAATTAGAAAAAAAACAGCAATCTAATTTTCTAACTGGAGAGCACATTTTCAGAGCGGCAGATTAAATAAACGCCCCCAATTAATACAGCGTTTGTAAATTTAACCTGCCGCTCTGATAATGTGCTCTCCAGTTAGAAACAAACCAGCAATGAATGCTGTATTTATTAACTGCAGAGCAAATTTATTCACAGAAAAACAGAACGCTGCCGTTTTCTTGAGGATAATCGAATGTTTTCTGACATCAAAGTGGACATAAAACGGCGTATTAGAACAGAGGCACATGTTTCAATCAGCAGTTAGAGAATTTGTTCATATCGGCGCATTTATGAACCACACACACCTTAACTGAGCTAACGGTGCGTGAGAAGCCGGCAGGTGCTGCTGCGTTCAAGTGTTTCAGGTTTATTTTTTTTATGAATTTGATTAAAAATAAAGGCGTCCGGCCCGGCCCGTGTCCGAGGTAATTACACAGTCGTTGGCCTGGAGCCCGGCCCGCGGGCCGACCCGAGGGCCTAGGGCTCCAGTGCAGAGCTCTACTGCTGGTACCCAACTCCTGCAGAACGTAGGTCTCCCACAAGGCGGACACAGTCTGAGGAACGTACTAATCTTATTAAAGAGGTCTAATTCAAATCAAACTTTATTTATATAGCACAATTCATACAATACATGCAACTCACCATCAGGGGAGCCATCTGCCCCGACAGCAGCAGATCCACAGCAGCAGCCAAGGACGCCCAGGGGAGGGCGGAGACCCCCACCTCCACCCAGGCCGCCACGGCCGACCACTGCCCCTGGGGCAGAGGGCTCCCACAGAGGAAACACTGGACAAGGATAAAATTTGGTTAAAATATAAGATGGTACATTTTTGATAGAACGTATGAAGGTAAAATATATAAATCAGTAATAAAAGTAACCAGTTAAAAGCTAAGCTAAAAGGTGGGTCTTGAGCCCTGAGGTCCTCCGGTAGCCCGTTCCAGAGGCGAGGACCGTAATAACTGAAGACGCCTCGCCGTGGGTGTGTCCTGATTTCAAGGATAACACGGAGACGGCCGAGTGCAGAGTCAGCGATGGTTCGTACGGTAAAAGCAGTTCTGGGAGACGAGAAGGCCCAAGGCCGTTAAGGCACTTAAAAACCATTCAAAGTATTTTAAAGCGGATCCTGAAACATACGGGGAGCCAATGCAGCGATTCTAGAAGCGGTGTAATGTGCTCCCGCTTCCTGGTCTTCATCAGGACACGCGCTGCTGAGTCTGTAGACCTGCAGGTCATTGAAGTAGTCTACTCTACTGGTGATAAAAACATGCATCAACGCCTCCATGTTGGCCCGAGAGAGGATGGGGCGGACCCTGGTGATGTTCTTTAGATGATAAAAACCTATTTTGTGATGTTTTTATGTGTGGGACAAAAGTCAGCTCAGAGTCAACCCCCACACCCAGGTTCTTCACGTGTTCAGAAGGATTAGAAGACAAAGATTGTAGTTTTGGTAAAAGCTTCT